CCTGCTCTGCTTCCTGCCCACCATGAACTAAGCAGTTTTGTTCCACCATGATACCCTTCCATCATAATGTTTATGCCTTTGAGCCAGGTAAGCATGGACTGAATCCCCTTAAATCATAAGCCAAGTTAAACTTCTCCTTCTTAAAATTGTGGGTGTTGGGTGTTTGAGTTCAGCAAAGGGAAAGCTGGCTAATACAGTAATCACTGCTCTGCTTTCTGTCTCAATGGATTTTCTTATATATGGAATCAATACAATGTGCTGTCTTTTTAACTAGTGTTTTTTAAACTTAGCATGATTTTTAAGGTTTATCCATGTGGTAGGTAGCATGTATCAGTACCTGATTTCTATTTACTTCTGAATAATTTGTCATTATATATATACAATGCCACGTTTTGTTTATTCATCCTCAGACATCTGGATGGTTGTACTTTCTGATTGTTATAGAAATGCATTTAATCTTTCTTAATTAAGTATGATATTAGGCATGGATTTTTCATACCTGGTCTTTTTCGGGTTAGAGATTTCCTTTCTTTATTTTTTAAATCAGGAATAACTGTTAGATATTTTTTTGAAATGTTTTTCTAAATTCCCTCAGATAATCATGTAGTTTTTGTCTTTTATTCTGTTGGTCTGATCTGTCAGTTAATTATTAGATGTTGAACCAACTTTGTATTCCTGGGAAAAATCCTTACTGGTCATGATGTATGATCCTTTTATATGTACCTAGATTCTATTTACTACTATTTTGTTGATAATTTTGATGTTGATATTCATAAGAAATACTACTTTGTAGTTACTACAGCTCTTTTGAATGTAAATTGCTGTATCTGTGATTTCTGAAAGCACCTGTGTTCCTTTAGGCAGTACCTTTTCAATAACAACCAAATATTAAAATTTGTCAAGAAGGAATTAAGATGATGCCATTGCCTTTTTTTTTTTTTTTGAGACAGGGTCTCTGTGTGCAATTCAGGCTGGTCTTGAAGTCACCATGTAGCATAGGCTGGCCTAAAAATCATGGTGATCTTCCTGCCTCAGCCTCCTGAGTGCTTGGATTACAGCCATGTGGCACTCACTGGCGCTCATTGAAATATTTTTAAATGATAAAATCCCTTCTTTTTCACCATGCCTTTGCTTGAAAGCAGTATGTCCTGTCTTTGTTTGCCAAGTTTACTATGAAATCCCTTCCTTTTCCAAATCTTACCAAGTTGATATTCATTAGTTAGCTCCCACATGGAAGATATTAAACAGGGAAGAAGCTTAATTAGTTAACCATTAGGTAAGTTGTGTTTCTCTCTGGGATAGAAGCTTTGCTGCCTTGGGCTCTTCATCTTAGTGTAAAAGTATCCGTTTGTGGAGTATCTGGAAGAATATCAAGGATATGCAAAGTCATAAAATAAATCTCTTCTAAAACATCAGTTTTACTAAAAAATTTAAATAGGTGAGAGGTGAAACTTTTTATATTAAAACAGGCAAGACTTTTATGGAGTAAAATATAAAATGTTCAAGAATTTTTAAAGTAAAATATAAGACTTCAAAAGAAATTCATTACTTTTGTTACAGTTTTCAGTTCCAGCACCTCTAAAGGTATGACTGCTTTTTGTTGTTAGATGAGAGTAGGTTTTGTGGAAGTTTTTGAGATATAGTGTGAGGTATTAAATTATTAATGACAATAGTGATTTATGAACAGGTTATTGTCTTCCTTATAAATAATTAACAAACCAACACCAGAAATACCCTCCTGTTCAGTTTTAACCTTTTTATCCTTTAGTTTTATTGTTCCCTTTCCTATGTTTAGATTCTCATTTTGTTAACTAACTTACTGCTATAAAGAGGATAAGGTCCTTTTATGTTGCTTTCATAGTCTGAGAATGGTTGGATGAAAAGTATAGATCATGATAGCAAATATTTTATTGTATATTATCTCTCAGCTGAAATATTACTGAGCAATTGAGCATAAATTAAATTAGATAGATTTCAGAGTGGGTGTCAAATCTTGGGTTTGCTTTACTGGCATCTGCTCTGTACTTAAACTCTGTAGTAATGTACTTGCTCAAATTACTGTGCAAATGGACTACAAGGAAGCCATGCATATCTTTAGATAGTCCCATAGAAAAAAAGTGTTACTCTTTGTTCTTAATGTAGCTTGTTAATTTTAAAGCCTTCCAGAACATAATAGTTACTGAAGAATAATCTAATCATAGCTGCATAAAAGATTTTTAAAGCCCTGTTTAATAGTGTAGCAAGAAATATTTCAGTCATACTCCAGAAGCCACATTTTGAAAAGAATAGTTTTATCTGGCTAGATATCTTTAAACTTTGGGAAAATCTCATGATAGATTCTAACATTATGCAGTATAACTGTACAAGGATTTTTGCCCTCAATGATACTATAGATTTTCAGGGATCTTCTTCTGGTCCACCAAAATAAGGAGTAAATGTTGGGGTATAGGGCTGGGGATTTAGCTCAGGGGTTCCACTGCTTGCCTCACAAGTGCAAGGACTGGAGTTTGATCCCTGATACCAAAAAAAAAAAAATGTTGGGGTATATCTCTGTGTTCTGACCTGGCTAGGTGCTCTGATAATTTCTACATTAAGGTTAACATTAAATTAAATTTGGTAATCTACTTTCTTGTTACTATTTTTTTATGGCCCCAGTGCGTTGCTTGGTGAAGAAGTAAGTCTTTGGGGCACTTTTCATATTTATATGACTTTTATGAATGGCATTGACCTAGAAGAGTCTTTGTTTAGTTTCTTTTTAGATAGGCTATATTGAATAAAATTATTGTGATTTTTTTTTTGTAGTAGGCAGTCAGCCAATATTTTTAAATGAATGAAATACGATATTCTCTGATGTATTTAAAGATTTTTTTCTTTAGTCATGTTTATTTCTTTACAAATCCTCTCCTTATTTATAAAGAGTGTGAATTCATTATCAGGATATTTACTATATAGTGAAGAAAATTCTAGAACTTTAGCTGAAAAAGATTTTACACTTGTCTGGCCTACCATATTTTCTTTAGGGATGAGAGTATGGATGCCCAGAGAGATAAGAAGTCTTTGCCAAAGTTATTGTGAAAGATCTTGGTGCCAGTATACTTGAGAGTAATGACAAGAAAAAAGAAGGCATTGTGAAGAGACCTGAACAAGGAGGGCAAGATAACTTAATAAGAGTATAAATTATCTTCATGTGTGTATGTTTGTTTAGTTTTCTGGGTTACTTATAAATATATCAGACTTAGAGATTACCCTATTAAAAAAAAATGTCTGGGTCCCATTCATAAATAGTATGGCTTGGGGAAATGGCTTGAATGTCATAATGAGATAGAAGAAAGAAATCTGTTGAGCACTACAATGTGCTGTACACTTTCACACAAATTATTTCAAAGATAATGTGGCAGACAGAGTGAAGTTTCAACTTGATTTGCTTTGGGATCTATCCCAGGGATTGGTGGAGCATATTTCTAGGTGTGTGTGGGTAGATGATGGAAGCATGGCATTGAGGTCTATGCCACGTCCCTTGCGCCTTCTGCTGTAGCACTGTTGTGCTTTGCTTCCTGGCCGTCGTGAAATAAGCAATTTTGCTCCAACATATCCTTCCAACCTGATTCCTCTGCTTTAGAGCCAGCCAATTATGGACTGAAACTGAGCAAATTTAACCTCTCGTCCTTTAATCTGGGAGTGTCGGGTATAGTATCTCAGCTATGAGAAAGCTGACAAATAGAGACATGCAGTCAACTCTTAAACATTCAGAATTCTGATTTTTCATTCAGTTATTTCATTGATTTCAATATCTCTGCCAGAGGATACTAAGAAAGAAAATCTATAGGACCCAAGTTATTCAGAAGTTGTTTTGGTACAATAGGATTCTGGAAGGAAGTCAATTTAGTAGCTTAAAGGAAAAGTTTGGGTCCTCATAGACGCGACTTGTGCCTGTATCTGTGTGATCTTACAGACTAAACTTCTCTTTGGAGAAATAAGTACCAGTAGCAGAGAAATTCAGGATTAACATCTCTGTACAAAGAGTAACATGAAAGTTAGGGTTGTTTTAATATATACTTTGGTGAATTGTAAATTTTAATGTTGGTCATGTTTAGGTCTTTTAAAAGCAATTTTTGTCCCTGTGTGCTCTTGTCAGAAGCCATTCTTTTTCAGAATGATTAAGTTGGGATACTTTTCAGAGTTAAATATTAATGATAAAGATATTTTTGGTTTGTGTTTTTAACTTTATAACTAAGAATGAATATAGTGAAAACCTTTCTATTAATGGTATCTTTTTATTCTAGTCCAATTATTTGTGAACTACTGAAGAATTCAGGTTATCAATACCAAGTAAAAAGTAATATTTCATATACATATTTAGCAAAACATTGACGATATATATGATTTCCATTTCATTGACAGGATTTAACTAAAAGTATGAAAGGAATCTAAATCCAAACAAATTGGTAATACTGATAATTAAAAAATGAAACCTGTATTTTAACTTTTTTTCTCTAGATTATAATTCAGTTCTGTGTAGAACTTCATATATAAAATGTTTCTGATGACTGAAAACATTCTTGTTTCTTCAAATTGAAGTAAAATGTACATGCATTTGGTTGAAGTAGAGATTACATACATATTTTGTTACAAAGTGAGGAAGATTGCTTTGTGAAAGATTAAATTAAAAAACAAAACACAAACACATCGTAATCCCAGCACTTTTGGAAGCTGAAGCAGAAGTATTACAAATTTGAGCCCAGCCTGGACAACTTAGTGAGATCCTGTCTCCGAAATAAATAACTAAATAAAATATTAAAAGAATTGGGTATGTAGCTGAGTACAAAGGCCTTGGGTTCAGTCCCCAGTACCACAAAACAAGCAAAACACAGGATCTCCTTAAAGAAATTTCAGCACATCTTTGGAAGAAATTTAATTTTGGTAAAGTGTAGCTATAGGCATATATTTTTATTCTGATGAGCATTTTTTTCTCTTCTCCTTCATTTGAATATTTCTTTTAGAGTAAGTGAAGAAAAGGAAGTGACAGAAGAACGACTGAAAGCTGAGCAGGAATCATTTGAAAAGAAGATTAGGCAGTTGGAAGAACAGAATGAACTGATCATCAAAGAAAGGGAAGATATCCTTTTTGAAAAACTCTTTTTTAATGTGCAGAAAGTTTGACTTTTTCATGAATAAAATGTGAATTCCAGAGAAATAATTGTTCTAATTTATAATAGGGAATAAATCTGCATGTGCTGCCATTTCTAGGCAATCAGAAAGACACTTAACAGCATGTGCTATTGCTTCCTTTGTGCTTGATAAGGCCACCCAGCTGTTCTGCTGCTGCTATTATGCTGCAGAGCACATATTTGTCAACTAAAAAAGACAATAAGAAATTTGGGCATTACAGTGTAGTGTTGGAACTTTATTAAATTCCATTCCAATATCACTATTGAGCCTGAACCTACTTGTGTTTGGTATTCTTTCTAGCTAAAGCTTTGACAATCTTAAGAAATTCTACTCTGAAATCATAAAAATAAAAATTTTCTTTGTAATGTATAAATATTGTAATTAATAAATGTTTTCATTGCAGCATAAAACTACCAAACTCGCGGAAGAAAACTATTGAGTTTAGAACTAGAAGTGTTTATGTGGGTTTATACATATATTACATCATTTGTATGAAAGTACAAACGTTTTAACTTAAAAGTTTTACTTAAAGAGATATGTGAGTTAAAATGAGCATATTTCTGAAGTTTCTTTTGAATAGGTAGAATTAATTGTCCTTGGGTGTTTTATGCAGAGGCATTGAGTAAATGAGAAATGACTGTCCCTAAGTTAGGGTGACTGATCTGCCAGCTAAACTAGCATATGAATGCTAGAAAGAACCACTGTCCTTGGCAGTATGTTCATTAACTTGATTGTTAGATATTATTTCAATGATTCTGAAAGTATCAAAAATGGTCATACATTGACAGTAACTATGCCTTTGTGAATGCTAGAGAAATAGAAGCATAAGCATAAATTAATTGGCTTGTAAAACAAAACTGTAACCATAAAAAATGAGTTCTGAACTTGTATTTTACAAAAAATGTGAGTGTTTATTAGAAAATTAATATAATCGGAATTCTCAGACTTGATTTGGTGACCAGAACAATAAGGCTTATTTAACCCACAATTCTGAAGGAGTTTCTTTCAGGCTCTCCCTTTTCTCTGCCCAGGTTTTTCTGCCTTTATTGTCCTGTGTTATCACCTTCAGGCCAGTTTGATTTTCTTCCATCTACTTTTCTCTCCAGGTTAGAGAAGTGCTGTTTAGTCAGAATTCACAATACACTTTACCTAGCACTTTCAAGAAATGGTAGGTCAAGAATGCTTTTTTGAAATGTGATCTATAAATACTATGGAATGTTAGTCTTAAAAGGAAGAAAAGTTTGTTGTGATCTACAACATGGATGAACCATAAGGATATTATGCTAAGTGAAATAAGTCAGTCACAAAAAGATAAATACTTCATGATTCCACTTACAGGAAGTGTTTAAAATTAGTCAAATTCATGGAGGCAGAAAGTAGATTCATAGTTGTCAAGGACTGTGCAGGAAAAGAAAGTTGGGAGTTGTTGAATGAGTGCTGCAGTCTGGACACTGACTGTCCCCCAGTGGCCCATTCGTTGGTTCCCAGGGTAGCACTAATGGAAGTTGGTGGGAACTTAGAAGAGGTGAGGTCTAGTGGGAGGTCAATGGGTGTCCCTCAGAAGGGACTGTGGAACACAGGCTTCTCCTGCTCACTCACTTCTTCTTTCTGATGATGGGGTTTGCAATGCCACAATCCCCTGCCATGATGTATTGGCTCACCATAGGCCCCAAACAAAGGGGACCAATCAGACATGGGCTGAAACCTCCATAACTATGATCCAAAATAAACCTTTTCTCTTTACAGAAAAAAAAAAAAAAATCAAAAAAGAATGCTTTTTTGAGCCTGCCTGGCAAGCACAAGGTCCTGAGTTCAATCCCTGGTACCAAAAAAAAAAGTGCTTTTTTGAGGGGCAACAAAAATTCAATTTATAGATCCTTTTTTTCCACATAAGAACTCTGTAGATAGATAGCTTTTGGCATTAATTTGATGGCTTAAAGTTTTCAATGTTGGGATCTCTACAATTCTCTTACCTTTTTTCTAATGGTTGCTCTAATTCTACGTTTCAGACAGAGGTGATCAAAAAATATGGTGAATGTTTAAATTTTAAAAAAATTTTTACAGTAAAAGTCATATTGCCATTAATCCCCCACACAGTTCTCTCTGTCACTTCAAATGTACTTATCCCATCATTCTTGCCACTTTTTGAAGCAATTGCGGAAGTCCTATTTCATGCTTTTATGAAATTGATCAAAAATATAGTGAATACTCTTGCCATGTGCCAGCCAATGGAAAGGCAGGCATAAAAACTTTATGGTATGTCTTCATCCACCTTATTTACTGGATCTGATACCATGCAACTTTTGGCCCTTACTCAAAGTCAACATGGCCATCAAACATAAATATTTTGAATCAGTTCAGGACATTGAGGCTGTCGTGACCGTACAACCAAAGACACAAAAGAGGACTTGTAAAACTGCTTCAGAACTGCAAGAATAATGGTGTGTTTGAAGTGAGGAAAAATATTTTGTGGGAGATTAACAATATGTCTTTACTGGGATACATTTTTAAAATTTAAACATTGACTGTATTTTTTGATCAGACCTCATATTTGTGTTAAGACAGGAAGAAAAGGTGGGAGAGGTCCTGACACTTGTGACTCCTTTTTTGAAAAACATAAAAACTTCTTCAGAGCATCGCCTACTTTCCCCTTTCCCAGATTGTAATATTTCATATGGTATTTATTGTCCTGAACTTTATTCTGTAGCAATGTAAGCTAATAAGAAGGTTGAGAAAGCGAGCATTTTGCTTGTCCAATTTACATAGTGGGAGGTCCAAGGGAAAAGGTGATGAGGAATGAAGTTAACCTCCAACTTCTGTAGCAGAAGTCGGGACAATAGAATTCACTTTTTATATGGAAAGGAGGTGTTGATACTTTGACCTTCCTGGGACAAAAAATGTGTGTAGTAGCATTCAGTGGAACTGAGGGAAGTTGGGAAAAGAAGGTAAGAGGGATTAATAGGAGATAATTTAGAAAGCCTGCCTATAATTAGAGTGAGTCCTTATTTGTCTGGTGATACACTTTAAGAAAATTGTGTAACTATTTGGAAAAGTAGATATTAATTTCAGTGGACTATGATATTTAACACTGTATGGGTCAAGATTAATGCTTTCTAGAGCTGAAGCTGACTAAAGTCAGCATGCCTGGGCGTGGTTTCCTCTGGCAGGCTCAATGTTAAGATACCCCAGTGATTGCAGTGACACAGATTTGCATATTTTCTTCATGATTTAGCTCCAGAGTCAGCGCACTACTGTGGTAGGCTGTATCCAGTAGAGTGCCAACTAAATCTTTTGGTTTGTTTTGTTTTTGGAGCCAGGGATCGAACTCAACACCTTGCACTTGCGAGGCAGGCGGCGGCACCATTGGGCTAAATCCCCGGCTGGGGAGCCAACTAAATCTTGTGCCACCCCATCTCTGTATATTGTCTAAAGCTGATCTTGTGCTCTAGATACAAAAAGTACAGTAGTTGCAAAAAGACCCTGTGACTCTCCTAGCCTAAAATGTCTAATGTCTGACCCTCTATACAAAACATTTGCTGACCCTTGATCTCTCTTCTGAGTGAAAAAGGAAAGAAAAAGCTCATGAATAAAGTCGAAGGCTTAGATATATGGAATAGTTAGGACCTATTTTCACATGGGAAGAAGGGAGTTGGTTTGATCTTTTATTCTTTATTGTGAATAAGGATTGAAATAAATGGTATACTATTACCAAAAATTAAAATTGTTTAATTGATGTAATTCCTTTCATTGACACCACCAAAGATAGGTAATATTTATAGAATTTTATTGTCAAAAAAGGAAAAAAAGAAAAAACGATTAAAAAAAAGACATCCCTGGTTTTCTTTCCAAGTAGATTGCTAAGGTACAAATCTTCTTTACCAGAATAAACCTGTCAAAGGTTAATACAGATGATTTTACAGTACATAAAACTCTATAAAACTTAGAAACATAAAACGAGGTTGTAATTTAAAACAATATAATTTTAACTACAGATACATTTACCTATCGTATCATAGATGAATGATTCAGACTCTTTCATATACATGCAATCAGACAATTTTAGCTCACTTTAAAGTATTTCAGTGTGAGAAAGTGTATTCATGAATTGTAATTTTTGCCATTTTAAAGATGTGTTATAATTTATGGTTTTCTTATTTTTAAAGGTCTAATAGCTTGATTTATTGATCAACTCTACAAACACAGACCAGTGCTTTAGTGAAAAAGAAATGTTACATGTTTGCCTTAAGATCAGTCTTTTGAAGGATTTATTCTTAGAGAAAATTGGGAGTTTATTAAAACATAAAAATTCTGAGTAATTTTCAATTCTTGAAAAAGGAATGCTTATTTCTTTTTTTGTTTTTGTTTTGGTACTGGGGATCAAACTCGGGTCCTTGTGCTTGCGCAGCAGGCGGCAAAACTACTGGGCTAAATCCTCAGCCCATGAATGCTTCTTAAGACTTGAACCATGTAAATGAATATGCCATTTACAAAGTTAAGCAGTCCGATAAACCTAGTAGACTTTTGGCTGGCTGAATTAATATAAAAAGAGAGATAAATTTGTCACTTAAAGAAGATCCAATAATGATAATTTGAAACTTTTTAGCATATAATAGTATAAGACAGGATATAGCTATGAGAAAAATTGATTAATATTTGAACTAGTTGTATTTTTAGACATATGGTTTGGATCAATGGTATCAAATCTTACAGAAGGAAAGGAATATCTAATGATTTTTGACCTGACAATTTTAACTGGCACTTCAAGGAAAATAACAATGAAGAAAGTACAGTGGACTTCAAAGTCAGAATCCTGTTTTTGCACTGACTAGCCTCTTGGGAAAGTTACTGAACTTCTCTGAGTCTCTTTTTACATCTGTCATATTCAGATAACTAATAATACCTTTTTTTGCTGGCCTGTTGAAGTTTTAAAGATTCATAAAGAGTCTA